AGTAACAATAACCCAAAACTATGCGAGCAGTTATGTATCTAGATATGGATGCATACATGTGCATAGAAAGGCATATGTGAGTAAATGCACGTGCATGTATAGGTGTAACTGAGGGCATGTGTATATACACGTTCGTGTGTGCTACATATATATACACATATATAGCAAACTACATAGGGCACACAGTTAAGGAGGCTTCCTAGACATACACAAACAAGTTGTAAAAATAGTTTACTGGGTTAAGAGGCTTGGGACCATAGTCTTGGGGGACAACTTAGTCAATTGGCATAACGTAATTCACAGAGTTAATGTTCTACATCTTAACTTGGTGAGTAGGATCTGGGGTCTTAAAAACTTGAGAGTGGCCATCTAAAATACAACTATTGGTCTCTACTTGTGTGGAGCAAAAGAGAATGAAGGAAATCAAAGGCTCAGAGAAGAAACTAGTCCACGATACTAATAGGCCACATGAACCACAGCCTCTTCTAACCTGAGACCAGAAGAACTAGATGGTGCCTGGCTATCATTATTGACTGTTCTGACCAGGAACACGATAGAATGTCCCAGATAGAATGGGAGAAAAATGTAGAACAAAAACTCAGATTCCTAAGAAAATGGCCAGACCTACTGGGCCGATAGAGACTAGTGGAACCCCTGAGACTATCCCCCTAAGATAACCTTTGAATTTGGAATGGAAGCTATTTCTGCAGGTCACCTTTCAGCCAAATAATAGATTGCTTATAAAATAAACAATGTCACATATGAGTAATGTATTCCCTTAAATAATTAACCATCTGACACCAAAACGTCAACATTTACCCAAAAGCAAAGATGAGAAGGCAAGGAGGGGAAGGGAAACTAGATCAATGGAAATAGAACCAACAGAATGGAAATAATGAGCTTGTAAAAATTGTAACCAATGGCACAGAACAATGTGTATAAAAAATGTGAAAGTGGAACGTAATTTGCTGTGTAAACTTCCACCTAAAGCATAATAAAATATTATTTTAAAAAATTATTGTCTTAGTCATCTAGTGCTGCTATAACAGAAATACCACAAATGAATGGCTTTAACAAAGAGAAATTTATTTCTTCACAGTAAAGTAGGCTAAAATTCCAAATTCAGGGCGTCAGCTCTAGGGGAAGCCTTTCTCTCTCTGTTGGCCTTCTCATCATTCTTCCCCTGGACTAGGAGCTTCTCCGCACAGGGACCCCGGGTCCAAAGGACGTGCTGTGCTCCCGGCACTGCTTTCTTGGCGGTATGAGGTCCCCCTGTCTCTCTGCTGGCTTCTCTCTTTTATATCTCAAGAGATTGCCTCAAGACACAATCCAATCTTGTAGATTGAGTCCTGCCTCACTAACAAAACTGCCACCCATCCTCTCTCATTAACATCATAGAGGCAGGATTTACAACACATGGGAAAATCACACACTACTATGAACCATGGCCCAGCCAAATTGATACATACATTTTGCGGGGGGACATAATTCAATCCATGACAATTATGAACAACTTCCAATCTGTTTTTTAATCTTTTTTTATTCTTATAAAATACAGACAACACATTTGCCAATTCAACATTTTTCGCACATAGAGTTCAATGAGACCAATTACATCAATCATGTTGTGCATCACCAATATCCATTGCCAAATTTCCTATCACCATAAACAGAAACACCGATTTTCCCCCTTCCCCTCTCCCTCCTGCCCTGGTAGCCACTATTAAACTCTGATCTCTATGCATTTGCCTATTTTAGATATTTCATATTCATGAGATCATGGAATATTTGTGCTTTTGCGTTTCACTTCTCTCAGCATAACATTTTCAAGGTTCATCCATGTTGGGGCATGTGTCAGGACTTCTGTTCTCTTTATGACAGAATAATATTCCATTGTATGTATGTACCATATTTTGTTTATCCATTTATCTGTTGATGGGCATTTGGGTTGTTTCCACCTTTTGGCTACTGTGAATAATGCCAAAATGGACATTTGTGTACATGTGTCTGTCTGTGTTGCTGCTTTCAAATCTCGTAAGTGTATACCTTAGAGTGGAATTGCTGGGTTATATGGTAGCTCTATGTTTAATTTTTTGAGTAAGCACCCAACTGTTTTCCACAGTGGCTGTACCATTTTGCATTCCCGCCAGCATTAGGGAAGGTTTTCAATTTCTCCACATCCTCAGCTACATTTGTATTTTCCATTTTTTGTTTGTTTTTAATTTTAGCCATCCTAGCAGGGGTGAAGTGGTATCTCACTGTGGTCTAGATTTGCATCTTCCTAATAGGCTAATGATGATCAGCATTTTTTTATGTGACTGTTGGTCATTTGTATGTCCTCTTTGGTAAAATGTCTATTCAGGTCTTTGTCCACTTTTCAATTGGATTGTTTCTCTTTTCATTATTAAGTTGTAGGAGTTCTTCATATGTTCTAAATATCAGACCCTTATCTAATATATGACCCTCAAATTTTCTCCCAGTCTGTATAGTCTTTTCACTTTTTTGATAAAGTTTTTGATGTACAGAAGTTTTTAATTGTGGTGAGATCCCATTTATCTATTTTGTCTTTTGTTGCTTGTACTTTTGGTGTCATATTTAAGAACAATATGACTGTTTTAAAAGATGTATTTCAGAGGCTAACTGAAAGTGTTCTTCCTCTTATTACATTACACAAAGTGAATTACCTATAAAAACTGATTTAAAAAGCATTTTTTTTTCAGGAATGATTTTGCAGCTGCCTTTTTTAAGAGTTAATGTTTACCATTATCAATTCTATGTGTGTATAATTGATGAGGAGTCCCTGGGTGGTGCGAACAGTTAATGCACTCAGCTGCTAACCAAAGGTTGAAGGTCTGAGTCCACCCAGAGGTGCCTTGGAAGAAAGGCCAGGCTGTCTACCTCCAAAAAAAATCAGCCATTGAAAATCCAGTAGGGCACAGTTCTGATAACACATGGGGTTGCTATGATGCTGTGAGTTGGTGTCAAGTTGACGGCAACTAGTACTGGTGTGACTGAAGAACAGAAATTTTAAAACTCATTAAGTTTTTCCGAAAATGGAGCACTGGTCTTAACTGAGAATATATATCAGCTTCCCTAATGTAAGAAAAATTTTGGCTATCTCCCTTAAGAAACCTTAAGTTTTTCCTGTAAATGTTACTCTATTAGCCACTGTGATGGAACAAACCAACTCGATTGCAAAGTACCTCATTTTACCACTGAGGTAATTATTCTGGAGGACAAAACAGGCCTCTGTATTCCTCCTCAGTCCTTGTACTGTGTTGTACAAGATAAACAGATCAATGCATTTCTTTCAATAAAATAGAAAGTCTTGTGTTCGGGAATAATCCAGTTCTCTAGACTGTGTATCTAAGGCATGATGGCCCATAATAATATAGTAAATTAGGTAAAATTTGTGTTTAATGTGCTGCTTATCCTCTGTTACTGCCTGCTGTCCTTTCTCTATCTGTTCAGGAAGCATTTATTGAGCACCTATTATATATTAGGGGCCCTGGTGGCACAGTGGTTAAGTGTTAGGCTGGTAACCAGAAGGTTGGCAGTTCAAATCCACCAGCCACTCCTTGGAAATCCTATGGGACAGTTCTGCTGTCTCCTAAAGGGTCGCTATGAGTTGGAATCAACTCAACAGCAATGGGTCTTTTTTTGTTTTGTTTTTTTTTATGTTGGCCCTGTATTGGGAGCTGGAGGTATGGAAAGAAGTTAGACACGAACTATGCCCTCACTGAGTTCACCACCTACACTTCCTGTATCTACCATAGAACCACCTCCTGCTTCTGGTGTCTTGGCCCCAAGGGAGTGAGGTCTGCCTCACCTGGAAATGGCCCTGTGGACATTGCTCTGTTTCCTGACCTGCTTCTTACCTTTCCAATCAAAACTTATACTTCCTGGATCCATGACCAAAGTCTACCAGATGATTCTTCATTTAAATTCAGATTTTTCAATTCTTACTTTAAAGGGAAGATATTGGTAGCAATTTCAGACCAGTGTTAAAAGAGTTGGATATAGATTTTTGAGATTTTTTTTTAACAACCAAGGACTTTTTAACACATGAATCTTTGACCAAAAATTATATGTAAATTTTATCTGATCATACTATGCATATAAGTAACAGCTTTAGTAAAGTTACTATTTTAGATAATATGTCAGTCAGTATTCCTAGATAATTTTTTTTAATAGAAAATGAACTAAAATATGATTTGCTCTTTGTAGAAAACTCACTAAAATCAATTCTTGAGGGGCAATCTACGAGTAAATACATGGAGGAGTCCCTCAGATCATGTAACCTATTAGATTCCTGGATAAGACCAGCCTTCTCCCTACCCAAAAAAATAAGTGAAGTAAAAATGTGGGAAGTTAAATTGATTTATTAACTTATATATGCATTCAACAAATATTTATGGAATGTCTACTGTATGCTGAGTTTTGTTTAAGGTGATTAGCAAAATAAATTTAGGCTCTGCCCTCATGAAATTTGTGGTTGAATGAAATTTAAGATAATATTAAATTAAGCAAAAACAAATAAAAAAGGTCATTTCATGCAGAGAAAAGTATTAATGAAGTATGAACAGGCTGCTGTGAAGAATAGCAGGGTGTCCTGGTCAAGGTGGTTAAGGAAGATCTCTGTGAAGTTAACATTTAAAAACTAATGAAACTGAAGTTTAAGAAAGAGCCATGTCAGAGGAGCTCAAAATTTTGCATTTCAGACTAGATTATCCAAATAGAAATGGCATTTATAGGCTGATCATGACCATATTGCAGTATCTGGCATACAAATTTTAGTCGTTCCAAATGTCAGCCAAAATTCTCACTTCTAACCAGAGATTCTGTTTCCTAAAAAGATTCGTAATCTTAACTCAGGCCTAATAAACCCGTGGCATCATTTTGGATTTTTACTTTTACGTATGGTGAAATGCTACTAGTTGCACAGTTGTTCAGTGCGTGTGCTAACCATGGGTCTCTTTCTCTTCCTCTTGTATCACCAGGCCTCCGGAACCGGTTTACAGCACTGTGAACAAACTGTGTGATAAGCCTGCTTCTCCCAGGCACTATTCCCCTGTGGAGTGCGACAAAAGCTTCCTTCTTTCAGCTCCCTACCCCCACTACCACCTAGGCCTGCTCCCAGACTCTGAGATGACCAGGTACTGCATGGGCTTCCTCACTTCATCTTCTCGAATTGCATGTGCTTTCACAGGATGAATGGGTAGAATCCGCCTCTGCTCACTTCTCTTTCACTTGACATCCTCCTCAAGATAGAGAGATGTTCTGTTCTTTAGTCTTCTTTGGGATAGATTAAGAATATTGCCCCCCCCACCTTTTTTTTTTCTGGTGTGATCACAGTGCGCTCAGGCAGGATCAAGTGATGCTCTGAATATTCTTGGTTCCCATACATCTTAGTAAGATATTAATTCCATTTTTCTAGAAGAATTAATTTTAGAATAAGTACCATTTTCCTCATATAGAAGGATAAAAGAGAAAATGTTTGAAATAATATTCAGTAAACTCTATCCTTCTACCCTACTGGAGGTTCTGATGCATCTCTCCCCAAAACCTCCCCAATAGCAGATGATAAATGATACCTTCTGTGTATACTCATAAGATAAGATTCTTAGAAGTAAGTACTGTAATCATCATTTAATAGATGAGACAACTGACTCCTAGCAGTATTATGCGCCTTGTCCAAAACCACAGAATTGGTTGGTTCTATCTAACCACAAAGAACATAATCTTAACCTTTACACTATGTTATTATGCTGGATGTTTACATATATTCTCTTAATTACTGCCATTTTAGATAAGAAAATAGAGACTCACAGATGTTAAGGTATTGCCTTCAGCATGACATTGCCAATTAATGTGGAGTCCAGATTAGAGCTTAGAACATGTTGAAGTCTTTCTACAACAACTTTGTAAACAAATCATTCTAAGTCTAAAGGTTGAACATCACTCTCCATTGATATTCTAAAGCATGTGTACGGTAAATAATAAAACCGTATCTTCATAAAATAGCTAGAATCAGAAAGAGAGGAAAGTAAGAAAAATAGAATGTAGTGTTCCATAAGGTAGTTCCAATTCAGTCTAAAGTGATATCAGTTGTCATGTTCCTACACATAATGGAGGGCTTATGTAGTTATGCTTTTAAACTGAGTATTTTGATATATCCTCATAGTATTGTTAGGGCTGAGACAATATAGATTTTAGAAAGATACAAAATGAAAATGGCTCTTCTTAGAACATCCCTGTTTTTGGATATTCTAAGAAGATGCATTTAGAAGTCAATTACTAGACTCTTGAGGGGAAGTAAATAACAAAATTTAAATTATATTTAACATTTCTGGAAATAAGTCAGAAAATATATTTTTGGCTATGCAGTCAGCTGGGGCATTTTCACTAATTTGCAATGATTAAAGCCTAATAACATTTCAGAATGCTTTCAAAATATGAAGCCCTCCTATATTTTTAACAAATCATAAATACTGTTTCTTGATATGATGAACTCTACAATTTTGAAGCTAAGAGGGCAAAGTCACTGTAGCCATAGGGAAGTGAGCAGATGCACACACTTACTATAATGACTTTCTAGTGATTATGCATCTATAGCCAGTTACCATAAGGGTAGCTTTCCTCTGTGCCAGACATTTTGTTAAGCACTTGTTATGAATTATTTCTTTTAACTCTCACAAACACCCTGTAAGTAGACATTATCATTATCTTTGTGTCTACAAATGAGGAAAGCAAGTCTTGAGAAGTAACATAACTGGTCCAAGATCATTGCTAATAAGTGGCAGAGCTGGGATTCAAACCCAGGTGACCACTTAACCTGGCAGACCATTTGCACCTGCATTAGCATAGGCATGATGGCAGCCACATGTTTGCTCGCTAGAAAAAATCTCCACCCATTTTTCTGTATTTTTGTCTCCTTCTGTATTTTTATCCTGCCTCCTCATCTCTGTTCCTCTAGCCTAGTGTCAATAAATCGTTTCTTTTTTTTTTTTTTAACTCATGCTATTTTCAATGAGCACAAATTACATTGACTTCTTTCCACCCTACTGGAGATTCTGATGTATTCCTTGCTAAAACTTCATCAATAAGCAGATGATAGATGATACCTTTTGTGTATAACCACCAAGTAGGGTTGTGTTGAATTTACGTTTTATACTCTGTATTATGAAAACCATGTTTTTTTATTTTTCAAGTAAAAAATTGCATTATAATGTTGAATAGCTCTTTTTCAATTTACATACCCTCAGCAGCTCTGATATGTACCAGTCCCCACCTCCCACCCTCCACCCCGTTAGGAATTCTATTTTCTATTCTAATTTCTTTACCCTCCTTTTCCCCTTCTTCCTTTCCTTTTTGCATTATCTTTCATTTCTAGAAAAAAAATTATACACACACACATATATACATACATACATATATATCCATTCTTAATTCCCCCACCCAATTTCTGCTCCTCCTCCAGAGTTTCCCAGTTCAGTAAATGGCAGGTACATCTGCGCCATTTGTTCAGTCCAAAAATTTCAGAGTCGTCCTTAATGCTTTGTTCTCCCTCATATCCATTATTCAATCCATCTTCCCGTCTTACTGATTCACCTCCAAAATATATCTCAAATCTATTCACTTTTCTCTACTTCTATCCCCACTGCGTTAGTCCAAGCCCCATCATCTCCCGCCTACAATAGCCTCCTAGTTGGTCTCACTACTTCTGCTATTGTCCTCCCGACCTATTCTCCTCAATGCAATCAAAATGATCTGTTAAGAATACAGATCTGATCTTCTCTCTCCCTTTGCATTAGCATAAAATGCAAAGTCATTAACCTAGCAGCCAGGCTCTGTATGATCTAGCCTCTGCCTGCCTCTTAAACATTATCTCATTTGACTCTTCCCTGTGCTCACCACACAATTCACATTGGCCTTCTTTTTATTTACAAAATCTACTAAATCTCTTCCTGTCTCAAGCTCTTCACACACGCTCTCCGCTCTTCCTATAAGTTCTTCTTACCTTTTGCCTTGCTAAATTCTGGTCGTCTTAGGTCTAATTTCAAGTGGCACTTCCTCAGAGAAGCCCCAGAAAGAGAAAATCAGGTCACTTATTATATATTCTCTCTTTTTTCCCATGAAACTCAAGCAATTTATAATTATACATTGATTTATGTGATATTTAAACTAAATGCCGGTCTCACACTCTACACTGTAAACTCAATGAGTGGAATCATGTTTATTTTGTGCATTACTATATCCCTGACTCTTAGCACAGTGCCTGGCACAGCAGGAGCTCAGAATTATTGAATGAATAAATAAACATAGAAATAAGATCTATAGACATCCAGACAAATATCTGTTTCAGGAACAGGTCATAGCTCAAGGTGTGCTTTACCCACTCTTTAGTAGATACAAAAAACAACTCCATGAATGAATGAATCTGTGCTTGGAAACAAATATCACTAGATTAAAGCTCAGTTTGTGTATTGCGCTCTCACCTTAAATTATCTTGGTGGTCAGTGCCCACCTTATAAGTTAATTAGGTAGCTGTCAGTTCTGCATGAAGACTGAGCAATTAATTTCAGAGATTATTTACTTTCCAATAGAAAATACCTCTTTGAGCAAATGTTTCTTGAAATGCAGCTAATAATTCAGAGACCCAATTCAAGAAAGAAATCTAGGTTTCACTGATGACACCATGACTTGTTTTTTTGTTCACTGTGACCGTGAATAACTCATGGAATCTCAGAGGGAGATAAAGACCTTAGAGTTAGACAGACAAACCCTTCTCCATCTCCAGTTGGGATGTGCTCATGGGTCCATGTCTTAGTTCTCTTCGTGGTAAAATACAAATTTTCTGGGATCTTCTGTCCTATAAAGGGTCATATAGGAATGTAGCCATCAATTCCTTTAACAGAGATTTATTAACTGCAGACAAAATGCACAATACTGTATTAGGACAATTTTTTACAAAGGTATGAGCTGTAAAGGCCGACCAAAAGTGTTGCAGAAATGCCTAACCTTTAAGTTGTGACATGTGGTGATGTATATTTTTCAGAGCGTCTGGGAATTTCTATTCCATTTCAGAAACATGCACGTATTGATACAGCAATTATTGCCCAGATTATGACACAAGCTAGCATGTGATACTGCCTTACATTTGTACCAGTTTACTCCCTAATTGGTCTTCAGAAGAATGGTAGCAAGTCAGCAAAAGCAATGAGAGTCAGTAATCTGGATTTCGGCGGGAATACTCACATTCTCAGCCCTTTAAATTGATAGCGCATATACAGGGATGAATTCATTGTATATACAAATTGCTGTTGTAATATCTTCTAAAAGACAACAGAGAAAGTTTAAATTTTCTTCGGCAAAGCATTTTATTAAATCACTTGGCAAAATGCCAGCTCCTAAGGCTGCAGATAATGTTTAGAGTAATTGACTTTTCAGACCTTGCAAAGGCAAGAAAGGGGCCGAGCCTGGAATCAAACTAAAATCAGAGTTCTATGAAAAACAGATGAGATTGCTGTGGGGCTCCTACTTAACCCTGCCTCTCTTTTTTTTTTTTAAGTAGTTTTTGTTGTTGTAATTGTTTTTTCTACTTTGGGAGAATGGTAAGTGATTCTGTTTTTGATTTTCCTAGGGAAAGAAGAATAGTATTCTTGACTGTTTTCCCAATACCCATTAAAAAAAAAAGCATTGCCGTCCAGTGGATTCTGACTCACGTATGGCATATTTTCATCTGCCTTCTTACATAGATGTCCCTAATTATTGTTATTTTACAGCAGGACTTTGGTTATTTTTGGTTCCACCCCCTGCTGAGAGTTTGCTTTTTGACCCCAGATATATTGAATCAGAATCTACTTTTTTACTTTGATTCAGTATTTCTGGGGTCAAAATGCAAATTCGCAGCAGGGGGCCAAACAGAAATAACCAGTTCAAAGCCCTGTTATGCAGTTGATAAACAGAGGCTGATATAAACCAGATGAAGGCCAATTAAAACGTGTTGGCAAATCTGGGATAGGAAATGGACCCTGAAGCATTATATGATCACAGACCATGTTCTTCACTAGTTGAAGAGTATATATTCATGGGGCTTCTCCTAGGTGTCCAGGTGTCAGGCACTATCCTGTAACCTAGGGATTCAAAGATAAAC